ACCCTGTCTCGAAAAAAAGAAAGAAAGAAAGAAAGAAAGAAAGAAAGAAAGAAAGAAAGAAAGACAGACCAGCTTCTTATATGTAGAAATGTATTGAGGGGGAGTAAGGGCTCATTTGCCAGCTCCAGGCCACATACACCCCAGAACACACCACACGGTCACCTTTGCTTTCTTTTCTAGCCAGCCTCATAGGAGTGGAAGGCGGGAATTCCACCAGAATTGGCAGATTTGCCAACTACCTTCGGAACCTCCTCCCCTCAAGCGATCCAGTTGTCATGGAAATGGCATCCAAGGCCATTGGCCGCCTTGCTATGGCGGGAGATACTTTCACCGCCGAGTATGTGGAGTTTGAAGTGAAACGAGCTTTGGAATGGCTGGGTGCTGACCGCAACGAGGGTCGGAGACATGCAGCTGTGAGTGCCCATAGGATTGAGCCCGGCCAGGGCCAGGGGAGCAGGAGGGGCCCTGTTTTCTGCTCTGCTTCTTTCTGAAGCTTGTCCTGGGAAAAGGATTCCAGGGTAGGAGGTGGCAGAGCCGGTCTGTTTGAGAAAACATCTGGCAGTGGGTGCGGTGGGGTAGGAAGCATCCCCAGCTGCTTTCCAGTTGGTTCAGGGAGTAGCACAAACATGGACCCTGGTTAATGGCTTTGTCATTCACAACTCTGTAGTGTGGCAGCCTCACTAAAGACACCGTCTTCTCTGAAATGAAAATAGCAACAAAATTGAATACCAAACGTGTTTTCATCCCGTCAGTATTCATTGGCTGTACTGGATCGCAGGCATGGCTCTAAGCTGTTGGTTTTAGCGTTAAGGCGTCAAACGTTAAAGCTGCCTGTCCAGGGTGTGTGTTCAGATGGTGCTGGCATTCTGTATTCCTTAACAGCCAGGTGGTGAGCACTGAGGCGCTTGGGCGGTCTTCCTCTGCTTCTTCCGGCACCAGACTTTGCCAGCTAGGAGGGTGAGGCTTTGCTCTCCCTTGCAGGAGACACTCTAGGATGACGGGGTATTCTGAGAGAACGAAAGTCCTGGTAGGAATAAGAGCTCTGTTTGTCCTTCTCTCCCAGGTCCTTGTTCTCCGTGAGCTGGCCATCAGCGTCCCCACCTTCTTCTTCCAGCAAGTGCAGCCCTTCTTTGACAACATTTTTGTGGCTGTGTGGGACCCCAAGCAGGCCATACGAGAGGGAGCTGTGGCTGCCCTCCGTGCCTGTCTGATTCTCACCACCCAGCGGGAGCCGAAGGAGATGCAGAAACCACAGTGGTACAGGGTGAGGAGACGACTCCATACTAGCCACTAGCAAAGCACTGTCGCTTGGAGAACCATGGCTGGCCACAGAGCAGGCGTAGTCACGTTTGTCTGGGCCTGGACAGTTTTTTCCTGTTCACTGTGAATCAGTTACTTGATTGCATTTTCTTAGTAAAGATACATTGGTAGCCACACCATTATTTAATGCATTGCTATGTGGGCTGTGGCAGCACACCTCTGTAATCCCAGCACTTGGGAAGCTGAGGCAAGATAAGAATTGGGGCCTGACCATAAACTTGAGATCCTTCTGCCTCTGCCTCCTTAGTGCTAGGATTACAGGCACCAACCACCATTCCCTCTTTATGCCATGCTGGGTATTGAACACAGAGCTTCCTGCATGTTAGATAAACACTGCCAAGTGTGGTGGCTTACACCACACCTTTAATCCCAGCACTTGGGAATCAGTCAGCTCTCTTTGAGTTCAAGGCTATCCAGGCACACATGGTAAGACTCTGTCTCAAATGCAAAAGCAAATGATTGATAGTTGCAATTTGCCAGCAGTGCCCGTATCCTCATTTCATCAAAATATAACAGTCAAGATTAAGTCCTTAAACAAACAAAAAAAGACTTCAAGGCAGATCTGGACAATGTGTTGAAACAGTTTCAAAACAAAAAACCAAACCAAAGTAAGTTCGAGGCCGGGCTGGACCGATAGCCTCCAAAACAATACAGAGAAACCCTGTCTCCTAAAAACCAAAAAAAAAAAACAAAAACCCCAAAGTAATAGCTGGTATTTGCTGCTTTTATCAGCAGTTGTTACAATGAAGAGAACTGGGTCTGTGAGTCAGTGAATGCAGTTGTTACTAATTTGCAAAGGGCTAGCTCCAGTGTCCTGCGCCTTGTGTGGATAGCTGCTGTCACAGGAGTCTTAAATATGAAAATGAGAGACCTGGTCTCCCTTCCTTTTGCTGTGTGACATTGGACTAGTCACTTAATTATTTTGGGCCTGTTTTATGTAGCTATCGGAGGTGACAGTAGCATTTGCCTCAAAGGCATGTTGTGAGCATTGGAGCTAAATTTAACAAAAGAGCCTGTAAGTCATCCTTGCTGCTGAGCCTCTGGGTAGAGGGGTGCGCCCGTGTGGCCTACCTTGAACACTGAGTAATAACAGCATTCTCTCTGTTTAGCACACATTTGAAGAGGCAGAGAAAGGGTTTGATGAGACCCTGGCCAAAGAGAAGGGCATGAATCGAGATGACCGCATCCACGGGGCGTTGCTGATCCTCAACGAGCTAGTCCGAATCAGCAGCATGGAGGGAGAGGTGAGACAGCACATCCGGGGAGCCCAGGCACCTGTGTCCATCGGCAGGCAAGGAAGGCCGGTGTGTCCTCTCGGGCAGCAGATGAGGCCATTTCAGGTGGCAGGAAGTCCAGAGAAAACTATGAAGCAGGCAGTAAGATCGTGGGTGGGGGTTAGAAGGGTAAGTGGAGGCGCAGGATCTGTCCTGAGGTGGCGCCACTTGAGTGAGAGCCACAAGATGTGGATGAGGCATGGGAAGGACAGTTAGCACACTGTGACCAAAGGAGGAGGGGGTGGCGTCAGAGAGGGAGCAGGGCCAGTTCATAGGCTCACTGTTGGTGGCCATCAGCTTTATTCTAATCGCAGGCGCAGACGTCAGTGGTGTGCCCCTGGGGATCACGGGGTGCGATGAATCTCAGACACCTCTGCTTCTTGTGGATCGTGTGTGTGGAGAGGTGGGAATGAGGTCAGAGAGGAGTCATTAAGTCAGTTAAGGTGGAAGGGTTTACAGCCTACGCGAGAAAACAGGGAGGGCTGAGTCCACGTTGGCCTGAATGAACAATAGAGAAGACACATCAGATGTCTCTTTGTCTTTGTGAGGCCATCGCGGGGTTCTTATGCCAAAGTGGGTCATCAGAGGGAGGCCTTTGTCACCTAGGAGCAGGCAAGACACAGCATCCTTGCCTTCTGTTGTTGGCCATAGCAGGGGGACAGGCTTGACAATGGAACTCCGAGCAGCACCAGGGCCTGTTGATCAGTTGGGCTCCTGTAGTTGAGGTCACCTACTGGTGGTTGCCACAGGAGGCTCCTGGAATAGTCTGAGTGACTTCAATTAGATGCAGTGACACAGGTACCGAGGCGTTGGGATTCAGGGTATGGTGGGGTAAATCCCCGCCTGTGCATCTCTGCTCTCCCTGGGAGGGCCTGCTTTGTGGGACTTCACCCAGGTTCCCTGACTTCACTGATAGGGGCTGGTTGGTGAGAGCTCTGTGTTGTATAGGGCTGCACACGGAGTAGGAGATGTTTGCTTCTACTTCTGATACTGTGTGATTCAGACAAGCCTCATATTCCTCCCTTTGTTTGCACAGCCCCGTTCCCTATTGTGCTAAACTTGAACAGTTTCTGGTTTTGGTTTTTCAAGACCTGGTTTCTCTGTTGTAGCCTGACTGTCCTGGAACTGACTCTGTAGACCAGGCTGGCCTCGAACTCACAGAGATCTGCCTCTGCCTCCCAAGTGCTGGGACTAGAGGTGTGTGAGCACTACCATGCCCAGCTGAGGGTTTCTAAATACACAAGTGCTCAGCACAGCCCCTGATACCTGATGGACATGGTGCAAATGATAGCACTCTGAAATTTCTTTTCCCGAGTCCTGCTGTAGCCCAGACAGCTCTGGGACCTTTGTTTCCTCCTAGTGAAACAAGAGATGTCACCTGACCCATAAAGGTGTCAGTGCTAAGTGGAAAGGCTCTCACAACTGTAAGTTGTAAGGAACCTCCTATAACGTAAAGGTTATATTCAGCCAAAACAATACAGAGAAACCCTGTCTCGTAAAAACCAAAAAAAAAAAAAAAAAAAAAAGGCTATATTCAGTCTGTGTTCTCTCACTCACTGGATTAGTGGAGAACCTAGCGTGTACCAGCAGCAGTGATCCCTAAGATCTAGATCCAGGGAGACAGACACTACCCATGTAGATAAAACACATTTTGATGAGCTGTGTGGTGTTGTGTGCTATGGGGTGGAGAAAGCCCGGATAGGTTTGGAGACAGTTGTGAAGGAGGTAAGCAGAAAGCCATTCCAGGCAGCTGATGGACCTGTGTGGAGGCCCAGGCTCAGGAGCATGAGAGCACAAGAATCCCTGTGCCTGAGCAGATGAGCGGGAGAAGCTCTGGGAACACCTGGGCCCAGCTGGCAGGAAGCCATTAAGTGGGCCTTGTGTGCAGCAGTAGGCTATTGGTAGATTTTCAAAAAAAATGAGTAACTTAAACAAAACAAACCCCTTATTTTGATGTATTTATTTGTGTGTGCACCTGTGTGCATGTGGGCATGCACATGTGTGGTGCACAAGAGTGTAGATACCTGTCTTTATCACTCTGCATCCTGTCTGTCTGTCCATCCGTCCGTCTGTCCGTCCATCCATCCATCCATCCATCTATCAGGGGCAAGGTCTCTCACTGAACCTGGAGCTCAATGATTCAGCAAGACGAGCTGCCCAGTGATCTCTAGGACTCCTGTCTTGGCCTCCCCAGCACTAGGAGTGCAGTGCATGTAGCCACACCCAGTTGCTATGTGGGTGCTGGGCATCTGAGTCCAGTCCTGCTTGTGCAGTAAGCACTTTGCTGACTGAGCCATCAATCTCCTTAACCACTAGGAGTGACTTTTGACTCATGTGAGCCTCTGTTGAGAAGGGTTTGTCAGAGAGCGGAGGGCTGAAGCCACCAGTTCAGTTACGTGAACTGCAGTGCTCACTCCCCTAGCACATGCTCCAAAACCGGAATGATGTAGAGAGGATTAGCATGTTCCCTGAGCAAGGATAACACGCAAATTCCTGAAGTGGAGGGAGAGAGAGAGAGAGAGAGAGAGAGAGAGAGAGAGAGAGAGAGAGAGAGAGAGAGAGAGAGAGAGAGAGAGAGAGAGAGAGAACAAGCAAAGAGCTGTCAGCACGGCTCACTCAGCAGGTACGAGCACCTGCTGTCAAAGCTGAAAGCCTGGGTTCGGGTCCTCAGGACCGAGATGGAGATGGAGAGGACCAGCTCCCACAAGTTATCCTCTCACCTCCCACATAAACACGGTGTAATAAAGGTATTTAAAGAGGGGAACATGTAAAACAAAATAAAAAAGGGGGAGACCTGGCCGAATTGGCAGGGATTCTTGCAGCTCTCCACAGGGTTATGGATCTGTAAGAAGTGGCTGGGTTCTGGGTTTGGGATTTGGGATAGATTGGAAAGAAGAGAGGTCAAGCTTTGTACCTGGGAGCGTGGAGTTGCTTTCTGCTGAGATAGGGAAACAGGATGGTGAAAAAGGGGGTGGTCTTGAGCATGTTAAATGCGAGGAATATGTTGGGCATCTGTGTGACCTATTGAGTAGTTCTGGGAAGAAATCTAGTTAAGAGAAATGAATGTGGGGCTCACTGCTAACTTAAGTCATGGACTAGGCAAGAACTATGTATGATGTGGTGTAGCTGAAAAGAGATGGGGTTTGTGAACCTGAAGTTGAGAAATGAGAAGGGACTGGGGGAGACAGGAGCAGCTGGGAAGGAGGAAAACAGGCCAGAGAGTGTAGGGCTCAGTGGAAGTAGCAAGGATGGTCTCATGTAGGAGATCACAGTGTATGTATCAAATGTTGCAGTCTTCATGCAGGAGATCACAGTGTATGTATCAAATGTTACAGTCTTCATGCAGGAGATCACAGTGTATGTATCAAATGTTACAGTCTTCATGCAGGAGATCACAGTGTATGTATCAAATGCTGCAAAGTCTTCATGCAGGAGATCACAGTGTATGTATCAAATGCTCAAAGTCTTCATGCAGGAGATCACAGTGTATGTATCAAATGCTGCAAAGTCTTCATGCAGGAGATCACAGTGTATGTATCAAATGTTACAGTCTTCATGCAGGAGATCACAGTGTATGTATCAAATGTTACAGTCTTCATGCAGGAGATCACAGTGTGTGTATCAAATGCTGCAAAGTCTTCATGCAGGAGATCACAGTGTATGTATCAAATGCTCAAAGTCTTCATGCAGGAGATCACAGTGTATGTATCAAATGCTCAAAGTCTTCATGCAGGAGATCACAGTGTATGTATCAAATGCTGCAAAGTCTTCATGCAGGAGATCACAGTGTATGTATCAAATGTTACAGTCTTCATGCAGGAGATCACAGTGTGTGTATCAAATGCTGCAAAGTCTTCATGCAGGAGATCACAGTGTATGTATCAAATGCTCAAAGTCTTCATGCAGGAGATCACAGTGTATGTATCAAATGCTCAAAGTCTTCATGCAGGAGATCACAGTGTATGTATCAAATGTTACAGTCTTCATGCAGGAGATCACAGTGTATGTATCAAATGTTCAAAGTCTTCATGCAGGAGATCACAGTGTATGTATCAAATGTTGCAGTCTTCATGCAGGAGATCACAGTGTATGTATCAAATGCTCAAAGTCTTCATGTAGGAGATCACAGTGTATGTATCAAATGCTGCAAAGTCTCAAGAGATGAGGACTCAGTAGTCCTTCAGCACCTCCGATAGTCAGAGTAGGGTGCCTTCCTGAAGAATGAAAGTATGTGTGTCACGAAAAGCTGGAGACTGTTGGCGGGCGAGTTGAGATGCATCCCTTCAACAGCGGACAGGCCAGCTCTGCTAGGCACCTTATTCCATGCCACCCTGGCTCATGATTCTGAGAAAATGATTTGTCTGGGTTTCTACTCAGTTTCAGGGAAAGAGATCAGAATGTTCTTGGCAGGGTGCCAGCATTGGGCTATCCACTGTTTGCAGTTCAGCCTTCCTGAACATGGCAGGGATACTTGGAAGTAGGAACTCGGGGCTGGAGGTTTCTTTCTTGTTCAGTTTCTTTCTTTTGCCTAACATTAGAACAGGATCAGGTCCCCTGCAAGGCTCTAGGGAAATGGTAGTCCAGGTGAAGAGTGGCCCCTCCACATTGCAGGGATTTGCTCCTCAGGGTTGGACAAGTGGCTTGCTCTGCAGACTCACTGTGCCCAGGGCACAAGCTCCTCTTAAGCAAAGGTGACTACTGTCTTTCTTTCCGTACATGTGTCCAGCGTCTGAGAGAAGAGATGGAGGAAATCACCCAGCAGCAGCTGGTGCATGACAAGTACTGCAAAGACCTGATGGGCTTCGGGACAAAGCCGCGGCACATCACCCCCTTCAGCAGTTTTCAGGCTGTGCAGCCCCAGCAGTCGAACGCCTTGGTGGGGCTGCTGGGGTACAGCTCTCACCAAGGCCTCATGGCCTTCGGGGCTTCCCCCAGCCCTGCCAAGTCCACCCTGGTGGAAAGCCGCTGCTGCAGGGACTTGATGGAAGAGAAATTTGACCAGGTAAATTGAAAAAGGTCTCCTCCTCCTTCCCCAATCCCCACGCCTTCCTCTCCTCTGCCAACCCTGTGTCCTTCCTCTCCCAGGTGTGCCAGTGGGTGTTGAAATGCAGGAGCAGCAAGAACTCACTGATCCAAATGACAATCCTTAATCTGTTGCCCCGCTTGGCCGCATTCCGACCTTCCGCCTTCACAGGTGAGGCTGTCTCCCGAAGACACTCTCTCTTTCAGGGACGGAAGCTGTGGTCCCGGAGAGCCAGTCAGGTCTGCCTCCCTGGAAGCAGCGCTCACACGGGGGCTAGTCTCTGGTCGCTTTGCCCCCATCCAGTTTCTCTCTCCATTTTCTTTTTTTTCCTTTTTTTTTTTTTTTTTTTTGGTTTTTCGAAACAGGGTTTCTCTGTGGCTTTGGAGGCTGTCCCGGAACTCACTCTGTAGACCAGGCTGGCCTCGAACTCACAGAGATCCGCCTGCCTCTGCCTCCCGAGTGCTGGGATTAAAGGCGTGCGCCACCAACGCCCGGCTCTCTCTCCATTTTCTATTAAGAGACCTGGTAGCAATCCAGATGGTGGCACACGTGTAGTCCCAGCCCCTGTAGGCAGAGGCAGAAGAATAGGATGTTCAGAGCCATCCTTGCCCGCATAGCGTGTTTGAGGCCAGCCTGGATTACATGATGCCATGTCTCAGAAAAAAAAATAAAAATAATCACACTTTGCAGCAGAGGGTCAGCTCTAGGCCAGGTCGTCACGTTAAGCACTCGTAACTTCCTGTGCTGTACGTGGTGGCTTATACATCTACGTCACAAGCCGTAGGAGGCTGAGATGGGGAAGCATCTAAAGCTTAAGGCCAGCCTGAACCTCAGAGTGAGGCCAGCAGAAGGGCACTTCAGGTCCATGCTGTCGCCAGCGCCTGTCAGGGCAGAGCAGGTTTGCTGACCTGCTTTCCCCCATGGTGGTCACTGAGCTTCCTTACCTGTAAGGAAGAAGTGTGAGTGGTTTAGAGCAGTTGCCATGGTGAAGGGCCGTGCATTTCCATATGCCACGCTGTCCTCGGTGGTCACTGAGGTGCAGGCTGTCCAGTCTCACTCAGCTGAGATACGGGTCTTCCTGCGATACCTTCCCAGATGTTCTGCATGGAGTCGTTCTTTTCCTTTCCACCACAGACCTCAGCTGTGGGCAGCTTGGTGATGGCATCTGTGTGGCTCCTGCATTGGTTTCTAACTGAAGTTTGGGGTGGGTTATGGACCTTTGTGGATCTCTGTCCTTACTAGTGAAAACTAATAATCCCTGCCCCCTGAGTAAACAGTGGGAAGGCTCAGGCACCTTCCATAGTGCCTGGCACAGAGTTAGCCCCCAGTAAATGGAAACCGTTATTACATTATTATTGCCTCCTGGAGCTGCTTCAGATCCATTTTGGAAGTGAGGAAGTACAGATGATAATACTCAAGTTGCCTGTTTGTATTTAATGTCCCTCTCTTGCCTCCTACTTGGTAACAGTGAGATCTTGTCTGAAACATCTCTTTGTACTTCACTGAGGCATGCTGGCTGGCTGTGCTTAGTACACGTTCAGAACCAAGTAAGATCTAGTGGTATAGAGGGAAGGTCAGCCAGACCCTCAGCATGTACTGGACCCAACATGGATTCTCCCATGCCATCCAGGCCAGAGAAGGACCGAAGTGTCACATAAACATGCTGAACCAAAGAGAAACGGTAGCATGGAAATCACCCATAATTTTTGAAATTTTCCCTTCTGCCTTCCTGGCGCCAGCAGCTCTTCTGTTTCCCAAGAACCAGACACACCTCTGGTCAGTAGAGCTTTAAATGGTCTTGGATGGAAAGTCTGCTAACAAGTAGGCCGAATTTGATCAAAGTCTGGCGTGCTGTAGAAACAGTTGCCATGGTGCATCCAGAGGACTGCCTAGCGACAAGATACAAAGACAGAGGCCCTGTGTGTATTCTTTTGATGTAGGTTTGTTGTTTTGTTAAACATCACATTAAAAAACATCAATGAAATTCAGTCTGAGAGCCACCATAATTGCACATCTCCATGCTGAAGCGCCTGTTATTAAAACTCACAGTATGGAAGTCATTGTCTGAAGCTCCCAATAGTGGAAGCTCTGGGAATAGCAAAAATACCCTGGAAATAAAATTTAAAAGAGCAAATTGCAAACTGGGCATAATAGCACAGATAAATCAGAACGTTACCCTAGGGGCCTGTGAGATGGCTCAGTGGTGAAGACACTCGGCCACTGCTTGAGGACAATCAGTGGCAGAGAAGGAGCCAGAGCTGGAAACCAGGAAAAGCATCCCAGCACATAATGCCCGGGGACACCAGCTCTCACATGCTGCTAATGTAAATAAGCATGATGAAGATGCAGGTGCTTCCCAGATCGCAGCCTTCAGTCTCACTCGAATGTCTCCATAAAACCTCCAGCTACAGCTGAGGGATTTCTAGACCTACACTGAATGGAATGGCCCATTAATTTGCTTCCAGTGTCACTACACTCACAGATTTTTTT